GGGGTGTGTACCAGACCGCTTATTCAAACTTTTCCTTAAAAAAATTTTAAACGACATACGAAACAAACATCCCAAACGTTAGCCAACAACTGAGAAATAAAAGAAAACATTTACATTTCCTAAGTCACGAACATGATATTTCTGTGATCAAGAATGTCATCTAGTTGCGTGATAGTATTCTCAAGTAATTGTATTGATTCAAATTTGTGTTCACAAAAGGACAATGTGTACCCGCTAGCGAATCTAGCCCCATCTCTGAACGAAGTTACTGAAACGCACGAGGTTTAAGCGGGTTGAGCTTTCATTATGTTCGTGCTAAACAGTACAGATGGCGCTGCGATACGTTTCTCGAGTCGTAAATTCAAAATTTTGAGACAATTTGCCACGTGGGACGTAATTGCCTGTGAAACGGGCTTAATAATGGAGGTGAGTTGATTCATGCTTACGCAAACATGACAGAACAGCTGTTTGACTTCAGGCATGTGGAATTCATCATTTTCTAGAGAACAGAGACGGACGCGCGTCTATAATAATAATACCGTGCGATCAAAAAAAAAAAAATTAGAGTAAGCCACGATTACTATTCTACAGTTGGCAACACGAAATTTTCCACACAAACTGGAAATGAAAATGACCATTAACCTTTTTCGTTTTGTACAGCATTTTTGTAATAACTTGTAACAATAAAAATTTTCTGCTCTAAAGTGAACATTATTTCACTCAAAACGAATAAAACGCAAACTTGTCAGAGTTTCTGCTGACATTTGACGTCAAAAATCAGGATTGCCATCTGAAGGACTTTAATCACCGCCTACTCTAAATTATCATTTTTTTTGATCGCACAGTATTAATGACTGGCTATTAATAGTAGTTGGGGGTCAATGTTGAAACATATTACTAACAGATTAAAGGTGTTATATATTTTTTTATAGAAGTATAATTTACTACTGATTTTTAAATTGTAATGAAAAGATGTTTAAGGGCGACAAAAAGTGTTTTTACAAAAAAAACAGATATCAATCTTTTTTTTTTTTTTAAAGTAGTCAACTTCTATGAAAAACTACATGCATTTTTACGTATTTGTAGCTCAATTTCGCGAATTTCGTTCTTGAGCTCAAGCGCTATTTGCTTTGTTGACTTGAATCTCCAAAACCCCAGAGAAGGACGTCGCACTGTGTCAAATAGTAGGACCCCTAATAGCCACTTTTGTGTCGTAGCTGGTATCCCACGTCTAATCTCAGCAAGTCCTGTTTCATTTATTAAATAAAAATTGTCAACAATTTTTATAAATAAAATTATTTCAGATTAATTATCAGATTATAAAATGTGTGGTATTTGTAAAGAGAGTGTTTGAAAAATGGAGGAGTCCGTCTCTGACTCTCATAGCTTAATTTAGATTAGGAAAAATCTCTGACGAACAGTATCGTGGTGAAAGACGAATATTCTCTTTAGGAACCATTCCAAAATTTTCTTATAACGCGTCATATACCTATTCGCGAAAAATTCACGATTTTTAATTGAGAACGAAGTTGAGAAACATAATTTAGTTAAGTCGCGACGCTAATTGAATATTCCATAATTGAAAAATTCTGGTGCTTAAATCTACTGAGAATACTTCACCAAAAGCTCGTGAATCCTTTCTCGCTTCCACTTACCTAGAAAAGAAGAAAAATACGAATTAGTTTCGACTAGTTCAAAAAAATTAAATCGCAACAGAGAATAAAGCAAAACCAGCATTTCCTGCAGAAGAATAATAAAGCTCAAGTTGTAATTTGCGAAAAGGAAGACGCTTCTCTGTGGGTGTTTGTTCAATACTGTCAATACGCTTGGATCAATAAAAATTTAATTGTGATATTATAAAAAAAATGCTTTCGTTCGGTGTTGAACGCTATGGTTCAATTCATTCAATCCGAAAATAAATTTACCTATGTGCAAAAAACAAATCTTAAACAATAATTAAACTGAAATCGCGGCGATTTAGTGTGCCATGACAATAAGAAAATGAGTTGTAATCAATTTTCATATTAAAGTAAATTGTCGTGAAAAGGACTAATTACTTGGAATTGTGTTAAATACGATTTATTGACAACTACTTGTTTTACAAAGGTTAGGGTTTCATGGACGATCGATCACTTGTGGACGTGATATTCATTCAATCAACCCGATTAGAATAATTCTTTGTTTAGCTCAAAATATAATCGCTCAACATAATATGTAATAAAAAGTGGAAATCATAGCAAATTGAAAATTTAACGAAGGATAAGGCCTGTCTCCTGTTTTTTTTTTTTCAATTAGGAATAAATTTTGTACCAACAATGAACAGTCTCTATTCATACCTTCTGTACTTTGTTCCTCTTCAAGTCGATGTTTGTGTCGTCGTACGTACAAGCTTAAATCTTGTCTAAATAAGATTGAATCCGAAATAATATCAATCGATTTTTTGTTAATACAAAGCAAGCAACCCTTCCCTCCGTCAAAAAAATGTAAACCCTTGTTGAATTTTTAAGCAACATCGAAATGAATATAATAGCTATGTCGCTCAACTGGTATAATCTAGATTATTTCGTGTTTTAAAAGTATAACAAATGTATTCACCCAACTTTTTTTCACACCCTAAAATCCTAAAAATTCTTTAAAACAAAGAAACAGAGAAAATCGATATATTCGAATTATTTCCAATAATACGGGAAATCGAATTTCCCGCATACGGGTGAGTTATGGGATAGAGGGATAGTTGTCGTGCAATTCCTCTCCTTATTTGCATATGATAAAGGTCGTAGACGACGCTAAATGATCGCTTTAACCCAGTGACCTATGCAAAACAACAACGATTCGTCACGACTTGTTTACACATTATCTTCGTGATAAGCCGAGTTTTCCAGTTGTAATTTGTGTTTGTATCAGTTTTACTATAGATGAAATCACGAAAAGCTGAGCGCAGTTCAAGGGCGTATGGTGGAGAGCTTTATTCATATTTCTGGACAAAAATCCATCGTCGAGCCACTTAGACTAATAATACAATTAAAACTCGCGTCTGTGACAAATTGTTCCAGAGATAAAGGACTGGAATTGAGTTAGTGATGATATTGAAGCTTCACGAAGCTCGTTTAAAAGGCATTATGGTAGCACCGAGAAACACCCCGAGAAACAGCCTTACATATTGGTAATGATGTCATAGAGACATCTGAACTTCGAATCAGTCTAAAAAATTTATCTGTTTGAGAACACCCTCCTTCCATTTTGCGCACAAAGGCACAAATATACAATTTATTTTCTGGCCTTTATGAGGTTAATGCTAAAAGAGTCACTTCATCGACCTGTTGAAATAAAATATTCTAGAAGCTTAACAAACCCGTTTTATATCTCGCCTCTCCTCATGTAAAAGTCGGAGCTGTATAGGTTATATTTCGCGTAAAGCAACTGAAAAATTCATGAATTTTCAGCTTTATTAATTTAAAATGAACACACCGTGCTCCGGGTCACATAAACGCACCTACTAATCAATATGATAATTTTCCTTTTTGATGGATGCCGGAGCCTTTCAACAACAATCGCTCAAAATTCCGTTCGAGAATAATAAAGTCGTTCGAAAGCCCTCAATCGCGCCACTGTTTCACGCTCCGGTAGTGTGACTATTGAGTTTTTGAATTACACGCATAAATTATGTGGATTAATCGACGATACGTGTGGTAATTTTCTTCGTTTTGGCTTATACTAAACGCCAACAAAAAGCTCGTTTAAAGTTTAACGAGCTTCGTTTCCGACCTCAGACCATCGTGGGCTTATTATTATTATTACTGAAAATTTCCGCGATGCATGTACTAGGCAGAACTTCACAAAAACTTTCGTCGTTGACAACCTATTAATTTTTTTCCAATTAATCGTAAAACGAAAAGTTCCGGCTTGTTAGCATGTCTGTTAGAATAAATCCTTGACGAAACTTTACTAATCAATCGAGGCTTTGTGTTTTGGTGTGAAAATCATCCGTGGAATGCCCGTGCGACCAGAACAAATCTTCTGCAGAAATAAATAGGCCTTTATATCACACGAAGACGTTCTACAACGGGAATTCCCGTTTGTGTTTTGGATCAGCGTCAGATAGGATGAGATTGTTCGTTAAACGAAAGTATTTCCGCTTAACACACAAAAGCTGAAGGCCAATTAAAAGCAGACGGTACAAACATCTAACCAAAAACAGTGAAAAAAACTAGTGATTATAGTGCACGTCCATGAACATTCAATTATGGCGATAGAAGGAAGAAGGGAGGAAAATAAGCGGTAAACTATCTGCCCAATTTTCTCTCAAAAAGTTGTAACAAAAGTTAAAATCAAGCAAATCTTTTATAATATAAGTTGAAGCTTTCAATCACGTATGTTAAGTTAAATATTTTGATTCGGAAAAAATCTAAAGTTAATGTTTCATAGTATTATTACATTTAAAAAAATGACTCTAATAGTAAATTAAAAACACTTTACTTTTAACTAATAGGCTATATAAAGTGTAATATTTACTACTTCTTCCTTCTACTTCCACTTGTGAACGATATGTTTGTGTAAAGCAGTGAAAAAGCACACTATTACAAATATAATAAAATGATTTCGTTCTCTTAAAGGGTTTATTATGACACTTAACAAATTTAATGTACATAAATATCTTTCTACCTGAAATTCCCACAGTTCCGTTTATAATATACGGCACGTCAAATCAAATGGACGTTATTTCGCCTTTGATAAATTGTATTTATATGAAATGTCTCTGCACGTAACTGAGAAATTACGACGCCTGTTGCTCAAAATTGAATGGACGAAAGCTCGCCACCTGTTATTTTTCCAAAGCATGTATTACTGTTACGTTGGGTTAAAATTAATAAAAGCAAAAGTAGAAGTGCTCTAGCAACAAACAAGAAGCATAAACTAGAGTTGCTATATTAAAATCGTTGCATTCAAATATAGGAACCCTAGCATAAACAAATCTGCTACAATTAAAAATCTTTTGTAACCTTAGGAACCTCCTGAAATATCTAGTATCGGACGTGGAAATGGACATATTCCTGTTGATAATATACACGACATTAGTATATTAATATTTATCTCTTTACGATTTTGTAGACAAAATTATAAAATTATGTGCCTCTTTGTGACAGAGCGACTTACTCGAGGCTGTGTTCCGAGAAAACTTCGCTGATATCCGAGTCGCTCCTTGGTAGCACTAATCTCGGCAAAACCATTGCTTTCTTTCGCCGCGTCTTCAACGTAGCCTGAGACAAGTGCAGCAAATCGGGCATTCTATGTGGCGAGTGTGGAGATAGAATCGTCAGTTTTCTATCGCCAGGACTGAGATTGAGATAACCAGCTGGCGGAGGTAGACTCAGATGAGAAGGAACTCGTACCTTTCCCGACCACAAGCCTCTCCTCTTTTCCGCGTTAATGGTCTCATCTGAACTCAGCATCGATCCGGAAGACGTCAACATAGATCCTTCGCCGCTAACAGCGTGTCTTTTCAATCTCATTTCCCTCTCAAGACTGTCCAGTGATTTCGTTTCCACACTTTCGGAAAACACTCTCCTCATATCTCTTTCGCTAGTTGACAAAAAAGATCTGCTCGACGTTCGTAGGCTTTCCATGCTTTTCGCAGTCTCCGTTCGTATTCCCGCTGACAAAAACTGGCCTTTATTGGCTTGTTTGGGATCCGGTTCGTAATCTTCCTGGGAGGAACTAGAGTGCGGCGATTTTGAAAGGAGGGAATATCGTGGAGAAATTTTTTGGGATATGGACGACTCTGGGCTTTCCAAAGAGTCGCCGCTCGCTTGTTGTGTGATTATTTGACATTGAGGTTGTGTGGTTTCAGCAACGAAAGTTTGAGTAGACGTGCGAGAGATTGAGCGTTGAGTTAAAGTGACCGTCGACGCGGTCCTTGAAGTGGTTTCGTCCTCGTCTTCTTCCATCGTCAAAGTGTAGGTTCGTTCTTTGATAATTAATTAAATCGTCATAAAATCATTGTAGAAGTTCCTAAAATTTCAACATTTTTGACGTATATAAACTAAAGATGTGTCTGCTGGTTGCACTTGGTGGCGTTCTTTCGAATAATAATAATCGGCACTTGAAAATCAGTTTATCACTTTACAAACAGATTAATCGATTATTACGCGCATGTAACCCAAAATTGTTGTCAGCTGACCCAGTTATGTGAGCAAACGGACCTATAATTGGAAACAGTTATGACGTTTTTATTGTCTTCACTTTTCATCAGTGGCTTATCGCGTATGTAATCGATGAAATAAATGGCCCTTTTATCTGTACAAGTTTTCTATTAATAAAAAGAATAAATTAGAAAAAAACATGTTGACGTCACTACCGATGATTCTACCAAATCACATGGAATTTACGAGTAACAACAGCTACCAAGTTCAAATTATATATTTTAAATTATAAGATTTGGTAGCCAAACAATTTGGTCTACGCATTGTAATACTATTCGAGATATGTCACATTAAATGTCGTGACAAGATGAAATAATCGTTCGTTACAAATTGTTGGAATCTGTACATTTAGCTACCTAATAATAAATACAAACTAAATTTAGACACAGCTTTCCGCGACTTCTGTAGTTTTATTTTAAATTCATAATGAGGTTTAACAAAATGCTTTATTAAGCTCTGGGGGTTTACTAATTTGTGTCACTTTGAACACAGTTAAAACCACGATAAAACTGTTAAAAGTGAACTTACCGCCTTCAAAATGACATTTCACGACCGCAACAGTGGTCTGATTTGATGATAATATATTCAAAACGCCATTTTTCCAATTTGGATGTTGAAAATTTCAAAAGAGTAAAAATAAAATTGCTATTGTAGGGCCCCAGACACCATTATCCGTCCGATCCAAATCTGCCGATCCCAATCACAGAAAAACGTAAAAATTTTGTATCATTTTTTTAGTTTTTTTTTACCACAGAATTTCAATACCTCAGAGTCACCGACTATTAGCAGTGTAAACTTTGGAACAAAGTACACAAAAGATGCAAACTTTGTTTATATGGCATTTTTTACAAAATGTTCAACGTCAAAATAGAGGCTCTATATCTCAGAAACTATAAACATTTGAATAAGACAAGTTAAGTTATTCTAACTTCTTTAGATATACTCGTATAGTATCACCTCTTAAAATTTGTGCACATAGTTTAGTCTAAAGTAGTAAACTACACCACATAAGTAAATATACAACGTCACATTCAATATAATAGTTATTTATTCTACGAGTTTGAGTGCAATATTTCATCGAGAAGACTTTTAAACCACAAGTGTAACGAGTGGTTTATCATCCACGAGGTGGAATAAAGCGTCCGATTTACACTGAAACGAATTGAATACAACATTTTATTTTTCGAATTAGACTCAACAAAGCTTAGACATGCTTTAAATCTGTTAAAAATAATCTGACGTTTCGTATTGAAAAAAACAGTTGTCAAAACTTTCGTACACGGGAGAAAAACCGTAAAACAGTGTCGAAGAAAGTTAGTAGTTGTTTCACACGCAACACCTAGATAATTGAGATATTGGAATGATATTGTTCCGCTGAAGTCTTATCATTTTTTAAAAAAGCTATACAAAATCCTATGCTTCTGCAAAAATAATCAAATTCAACTTTCGATAATAATGTATAAGAGTATTAGTACGATGGAACTCGTCAAAAATCGTTTGTATTTATTTATTTATATTTTTACTTATTATTACTTATTATTTAAATTAATGGTTGCTGAAGATTATAAAAATTCTCAAAAGTAAAAATTTTATTTAATTAAAGTTCATTTTAAGTTATTTACGAAACTCGTTTGTAAACCAAGACTCGTACTTTAAAGATAGTCTTATGAAAGTTGTGTTTTATAGTAATACACGTATTTTACTTAATTTTATGTAATAAAGAAAAATTCCATTTTTGAACTCATCAACCATATTTCATTTTGAAATCCCACTTTACCATTAAATTTAAAACTTTATAAATAAAAATAAAGCTTCAAGCTTATATTAAAGATAATTTGAAGCTGAAACTCTAAACACAAAATTATTTAATCGAAAAGAAACTGTTTTTCCTGCGACATAACTCTAAAACAATAGTCTAATGTCTAAGTACCATTTTGGTACAACCCTGAAAACCTGTGGTAAATTAAGTTAGAATCACTGATGCCAACGAGCATCTCTTGTTCTATAGAATTAGTTAGTTCAATAAGTGCAGTTCCTAAATTGCGTTATTAACTTTTTGAAGTTAGAGAGACAATAAAAGTTAGATATCAATGTCAATGTCGCCCGACAGCCAGGGATGACCAAAATTCACTATAAAGCCGCCCATGTTTTTGCATCTTCAGACACTTTTAACACAATTTTATTATTTTCTCTTGTAAACGGAACCTCTTTTAAGGACAGATTTTTGCTTATAGCATTTTTTATTGGCGATTAATAATTTTATATAAATTTTAAGTAATTCTTAAAAGGCATGTTACAATCACATTTAAGGGCTAGGATTGTTTTAACATTGCTATATTAATACTCGTATTTACCTACTAATAGACGCATTTTAAATTTCATTAGAATCCGTAAACAAATAACAGAGATATTAGATCCGAAAATCTTAGATGGGACACTCTGTTATTAGTATATTGGTTCTGATTTTCTTTCATATACGTGCAAATGTCATTAATAAATAAGTGAGGTCATTTCAACATTCCTTTCTAATCATTTTATATTATTTCAAAGATAACTGCTCGATTTCGTTCCGCAATATCCATTAGACACTTTAGTAATGAAAAAACGTCAAACGCGTGATTGCCGAGCAAATCTCTTCTGACAATTCCGTGCACGTACGATTTTAGTGCAAAATACACCGAGAATATGTCGGGCTTACGCGATTTGAATAAAATTTTCATAACAGCCGCCGGAATCACTTCTTTAGAAATTTTTAACACCTTCCGAGTATACTCATCGATATTTCATCAACTGAAAGAATAATCTCCTCCGAGTTCGTTCGATAATAATTACCCACAATGGACGTATTATTTCGTTCTATTGTGTTCGTCCTCGGAGAAAAAAATTTAAGAACCTTGCAACTTTGCTCCACGATATCTTTAATATAATGAGAACGTGAATAAGGAAGGGATTTGCTCGTCTCCTGGAAATATTTTTTCTTGATTTTCCTTCGAAATGTTTGTCGCCCCTCAACCTGGATTCCACGCCTGCGATAATAATTAATGTCGAGACATGTACGTAGGATTAGTTGCGAAATCGAATTTTTCGCCTCGGCACTAAAAGGACATCAACCCTTTAACTCGGGAAGGACATTTTTCCCGAAAGATTTCGACAAACAGTAGAACGTCGTAAGTTTATTAATCCGGACAGATCATTAATGAACGATGCATATTCTCCGTATATGGCGCTAAACTCCAGAACGATGCAGGTAATCATTAACTTTGATTAAGCGTCGCCATGGTTACTAACCGCGGAAATCTCTTGACCCTGCAGCTGTACATAAAGTGTTTAGATTCAGGCAGGTTTAACAATGTCTCTCGACTTGTCGTCATTAAAGCTTCGAATTCCCAATTATTGATGCCTAGTTTTTACAGATCGAATTTCGGGCGCAATTAAACTTAATTCTGAAGGGTTTGCACTCGATTAACTGAAATCAAAGAGGAGCGGACATTTTGCTTTAATTAAAAAATTAAATGACGCCCCGTTGCCTTCTATTGTTAAATGATCATCAAGAAATTAACATTATATTATCAGGGGATTTTGCTGAATTTAGTCAATTTAGTTTAATTAAACGTGTTTGAAGTTTCATTAATTTCAATACTAATGTTGAGTTTAGTTACAAAAATATTTGCTAATTAAAATTGACTGTGCATCGCATTTATATATTGAAACTAATTAAAAAATGTTAAATTAAATTTCAATTAAAGAATGTTAAATAAATGCACAACATTTTTTTTCAAATCAACTTCATTTCCTAATTGGTTCTGTGTAACATCATAATCATGATTTTCTTTAAGAGCGGAAGTAGAATCGCCTTCTTATGAAAAATTAAAAGCCGCTAGGGGAAAAGATTGAATTATACTATAATCAAAAATTATCTTAACCTAATTTACATAGTTATACAGGAAGCTAACGACCTCTACAACCTCGAACCTCGAAAATATTTCCTGAACTTTTTTGTGATTTTTAAAAAATGGTCGTATCTAGATTTTTAATAAACCATTTTGAAGCATCAAGTTTCTAATTTTGAGATATTTTGAAAAAAATTATGTGTTACGGTTATCACGCAATCCTAAGAAATAGCGCAAGAAAAAAAATTCTTTATTTGTTTTTGGTCCACGGACTTGGGACAACTTTTTTTTAGTTAAATCAATTCATAGGCCGGAGAGCCTGATCATTTAGCTTTAACATGCTTTTTTCATATTCATGTCAATTTGTTGCTGACTTTTAAGTAATGAAGAAAGATACTTTTGTCTTTGATCGTTGATATCTCAGCAAACAATGACCACACCGAGAATATAAGAATAGTTTCAGAAACTGGAATAAATGTCCTACAATATCCTTTAATGAATTTTTGAAGAAAAAATTCACCCTCAACAATGATTTAAAGAAAAAAGCAAAAATACCTTTTTTCGTTGTTTTAGTAAGTCTACCACATATTCACAAATACTGATGGAAAGCTTAATATTTTCAGGTATTTTTACAGCTTAATGTACCCTAGTTCTGTAAATTTTTAAATCGATCTATCAAACCATTTTCTCGGACCGATTGATCAAAGTTTTTACAAAAGAATTCAAGGAATAATTATACATACAAGGCGAGTGAGTCATTTATAATAAAGATCCTAACGACAGTGTCATCAATCCCATTTTTTTTCCTTTAAACTCAAAATACAGGGTGCGTCAGAACTCGCGCCCCAGAGAAAAATGGCATGTAAGGTAAGATACCAGGAACATGGAAAAAATGTTTAAAAAATTCTATTTATAAAAATTTCGAAGTTATGAGAGTTTAAATTTTGCACTTGCAAATTGCAATTTTCCAAGTTTTTTTGCTACAGGCTATTAGAAGAGGAAACAAGGAAGTTTTATACCAAATTGTAACTCTGTTTAATGTTATTTGTGGGTTTTATTGACAAAATTTTTGTACCTTTACTAAATAATTATAACAAAACATATATAAGATCATCACTAAATAGACATAAAAATGTCAAATGTCAAAAAAATGAATGTTACAGTTTTTTGACACAGAATTTTTTGAACATTTTATGTTCCTGGTATCTTATCTTACTTGAAATTAAAATTAACCGTTAACGCATAGGACAATGTATTTTGGGTTGCGTTTGAAAATCGGTTAGGGTCTTTATTATACGTGACTCAGCCTGAATTGTTTCTGAACATTGTCTTCATCTTCATTAAATGAAAAAAGAAGATTTTTTTCAGCTTTTTTTACAATTTTGCATTAGTTTTTTTTTACAAAATATATGTTTGAAAAAAAAATTGTTTTTAAAAATTGTTTTTTTTTTCAATTGGAATAAGTTGTGTTTTTCTACTTTTTGAAAAATATTGAAACAATAAACCAGAAGTGTACTGTGCTAAACCAGTAGTGAAGTGGACTTGTTTGATTAAGTATTCTAGTTTAATAGTATTAAAATATTAATTGTTGAAAATATGTTATATCATTTATCTAAAGAAGTTTAATAAATGGTTGGTTTCTCTCGTTTTTAATGAAGGGATGGAATAAATGCGTCGAGTTAGTAAAATGCGACAGTAAAACGGAAATAATAAACTTTTTCTGAATCAGTTGCTTTATTATAGGTATTTTAAATATGAACGTTAAAACAACTTCGAACAAGTATTTTCCTGGAAAAATATATAAAATATGCAGGAAAATCCTCACAAACTTTGTAGAGAAAATTTCGTAATTTTTCCCGACTGTTGCAAAACTCTAATAATCAAATCCGTCATTTTCAGACGACATGAAATCAATAAACAATCGCATTTGAGGTCTGAAGTTCGAGCGACAAAAAGTTTAAATTTTGTGGACAAAGTCAAGGATTCGTTATATCCTTAACGGTCCCGTTACACTATTAGAGAAAAATAATATCCTTTTTGGAAACCTACAAAGCATATTATCCCAGCTTCGTCCTCGATTCCTGGGAGAATGCAACCTTTCAAAGTGAAATATTCAAAACATCCATCATTTAAATATTTCAAAATAAACTCCAGTGTGCAAGAATGACGAGAAAATATGGAAAACGAGGAAGGGAAAAAATTCTTCAGCGAGGAAACTCACTAACTCGATTCTTTGGACGACAAAGACGACCATTAAAACCCTAAATCAATTAAAAACCATCTTGTTGAAACCTCTTTTATAAACATACAAGGTGTTCTAAACTGCGTTTCAGTTTAATCGCAGGGTTTGTTTTAAAATATTATTAGGTACGAACCAACTTTTTTTAATTAAAATTAAAATTTCATGTAGAAGCTCTTTTCTTTTTCTTTCAATAATGAATAAGGTAAAAAGGCAAATCACAATTATTTTGTCTTATCTACTCACAAAACAAAATTATACCTAAAATTCACGTCATTTCCTCCAATTTTTTTTCGATCAAAATAAACAGACATGTCCTGATTAGAATCATAGGGTTGCAAGATTGGCAATTAAGAAGCCGGACGACGCGGTAAATATTTGACGTCAACATGCTGAGGTGATTTAAACCAGTGAAAAAATATTCATGTCGGAAGTCGATTTTTCCCCTCTAACCTTGCTTCGTATCAATATTTCCAATATTAGTTTGTTAACTGGCTTATTGTGGCTCGAAATAGGTGAATCCCTTGTGTACTTTCGCTTAAAAATCGGAAAAATTTGAATGAAATCGATTTCACATCAAGCGCTCGCGACGATTTAATATGAATTGTTTCCTAGTTCTGTAGACGTTGTTTCTGCAATCATTTTTAAATAAAAGGACTGGATTTGTGCCAACAGAGACACAATCGCGATAAACATCAGCATAATGGCCACTTCTAAATTTGCAAAACTGGCACGGGTCGCCGTTTTACATATAGAATTGTGGTCATTATGAACTGCAACGACAGTTATTCCGAAATGGGAGACGGCAAGGAAAGCATAATGAGGTTTATGAGAGTAAAATCCGACAAAATCGAGATATATTTTATATTTTTTACAAACAAAAAATTCTTGTCGATAAACATATTGTTAGTCGTTGTGTGGCAATTCCAAAGGGAAAAAATTCCGGTAAGCGTAAACATTATGTAAATCGATAAATCGTTAAATAAAAATGTAAACTATATATGTGTTGGTTGCTTTCTTAATTACCACCCTTGACCGTACACCAATCGAAATCAAAACCAAGTTAATTACAATTGAATTTCAAAAGTTGAGAGTATCTCATGTTTATTCAAAGGACGTCTACACGAATAAGCTTGATCTTATTAACAATGACACGAAGATTAAGCTCTGTCAATATTTGGCTTGAAAGTAGGATAAATTCTGCTTTTAAATTTTTGATTTTACAGTGACATCACTTCCAGATACTAAAAACATTGTACCTCAGCTTTCTACAAAGACAAAGGATGGCAGAGGCAGCATAATCGCTCCAAAACAAAACTAATTTAGTTGAAACGAAATTGGTTGTGTGCGTGTGCGTATTTTATTCAAGAAAATATTCAATTGTAAGTTGCAAAATGGAGCATCGTTTATTCTTGAGGTTCTTTTAAACTTATCATTGGATTGTCGAGTCACCACAGAAGACCAACTAAATGATTTAAAATGTATGATAATTTATTTGGTTTGAAAGTAATTTTTCCAACAATAGCGTAGTTGTTCTAGCAAGAAATGTAAACATTACGTTGGCATACCTGTTAATTTACGAGTATGTCTCATTTATGATTCATGAAGTTTGTTCTTTGAAGGAAATATAAAGGAAAGCCACAACCAAGTTTTTTTATGTGAAAAATTCTAAGAGGATTTCAAGTGTAAAAATGTGTAATTTCTGTTAAAAGAGATTGCTTAATGGCTGCTTTCGCAAGAACAAGTATAAACCAACTTAGAGTATGTTATTATCGTTTACATTTACAACGGCTTTGTAATTCCATAAAAGCACTTTTTTATAAACAAATAAATTAAGACCGCGCCTCAAGCTCAACCAGCAGCCAGCATCAACAAAAACAGGAGCACCACCTTCTTGTCCACCATAACCACCTGTCTTTTTTTCCACCTGAAAATAATCCGCCGGCTCGTCCTTGGTGCTTATATAAAGGACGTTGAAACAAACCACACGCACACAGAGCACACTTTGACCACGTTATTCGAGTTCACTAGTTTCACAGGCGGCGCGGATCGTCCTTTTCAAAGGCCAGTAGATATCCCGCGTTCGGCGCGTTCTATGAATGCACTGGGTTTTCGAATCCGGGAGCTCTCACACCGGAACGCGACGATCACACTCGATGCTGCGCGACACACTGAATACAAAATTTTCACGCGGTCCTTCAGGTGGACATCGTCCGGAAAATGAACATTTTTGCCTAACAGGTTCTCATTACTTTTTTTCTCGTAGTATTTGTTATTTTTAGCGTGGATCATGCGTGTACCCCGCCAACGGCTTCGACTGGTGTACGTTTAGGGTTTAGAAATTATTTTAAATACTTACGAAAATCTGAAGTTCCGATTCAAATCAAGTTCACGAAGTTTGATGTGTCGCGGCATCACACATTACTAACGCGAGCTTAGTTTACGCGAAACTACTAAATTTTTGGCTACGGTGATAAGACAAGCAAATTATTTATTGTTAAGGCAAGGTTCCTGGCTGTCTAACTGTTGGTGTGCTATAATTTTCGCCGACCTTGGTGGAAAAGTTCTATAAATTTCAACGCAATGGATCAAACCATAATATTTTTTTCCGTAGGTACTAGTGTGTAGATTAAAACGACATTAACACAAATTTCCACATATTGCACCACTGCTAATTAAAATATAAATGGAAAATAAATATTATGTCCGCTAATATATACGTAACAAAACAATTAATGTAATTATAGTGGCAATAAACCATTTAATGTATAGGGACTCTTTTGAGTCCCTAAAATGAGTTTTTTCGAACAAAAAAAGTTGTTTGTAACACTCATCTGCTATTCCAAACTCGGTTCGTCCGCAAAAACTGTGTTTTAGATACTTGTAACAAAAATAACTATTAACTCTACTATAAGAATACAAAAATTAACATTGTCTGATTAATTAAAATGTTAATACCCAAACCCATGAGTAAAATAAATATAATTTACAACAACAATAAAATTAATCCCGCATTAGATTAGATTATCCAATTGATGGATTAAATTACTTTACTGGGTAAATTAAAATCCAACATTCTTGATAATTAATCAATAGTGGCCTTTCATCTTAATTCTATGGAAATTTAGTTTCGAAAATGAAATAAGCTGACTTTCAAACAAACTTCATTAGCTTGTATCTCGAACTGAAACAAAGTGGTATCCTAATTACAATCACTGCGTACGTTAAATATTATTACCTTAACTAATTACACTTGAAAATGAGATGATGAACACAGCAGGCAGCTACGCAAGCTCTAATAAAATGTCGATTGTCGCAGGTATATCCAGTCAAAAATAAAAAAATTAAACTGTAATTAATTAATTATGTATCTTGTCTAGAATTTCATGTAGTGAAATATGCCAGTCCTTGTGTGAATTCATTCATAAAAAGGTTAAAATCTAAGTCGGAGTGGAATTTCAAGCCTAGTTACTTAATGAGTCACAAAAGCTAACAAAGAAGAAAGCTTACAAACAACAATCGACCTGACTACATTCATGTTTATTAAGATGGTCCCTGAAGGCAAAGACCCTTATAACATTACGTGAATTCGACAGAAAAAACGAATGAGAAATAAATATAAGTTAATCTACTTAAGAATTGACTAAATAAAGATCAGTCCCCTCCTCACTTGAATTAAATTTAATTAAACGCTGTTTTTCACAACAGTCTCCCTTCGAGGGGTATTAATTAGAAAAGAAACAAAGGAAAAAATAGCTCTTTTTGGAATCAAAGTTGTTTCAATCGTTATATTGTTTAGCCGGGTAGTCTAATAACGAGTTTGCGTCTCTGGAAGTTTCAGGATTTCAGTCGGATTCTCTGGAGTAATTTATTGTGAATTTATCTCATAGAAAATGGAGTTGGAAGTCCGGTGATATACTAGAAAGTTCGACAAAAATTCAAAGTCGTCCCAAGACGTTTTGCAAAGAAGCAACTAGTACATTTTATGACGACGTATAAATAGCTACGCTTCGCGTAGTAGTGCAGGAGTGTATGCAGGTATGACGTCAGTCATTGATTCCCTCGAGCAAAAAGTTTTTAATTTACTTTATTAAAACACAATCTAATAGTATTATTAATTCACAGACGCATTCATATGAAGTTGTTATAGAACGCAGCGAATGGAAATTGCGGCAACATCAACTAATTAGAAGAGGATTTCGCCGCGATATAAATAGGTGGGCAAATTCGGATTTATTAAACTAATCAGAATTTCAGACGTGCTAGCTTCGACAATGAAAACGATTTTGAGGAGATGCCTGACCAAAAAATTAAAATCAAATCAGGATAAAACTGAAGATGCTAATCAAACATAGGTTGTGAACCAGTGTGTTTATATTTCCACTCCTTTAACCACAATAAACATCACACATCCCTTAAACACACTACAAACAGATAAATAAACACAGTAATAAAGCTTCTCTATGGGTAGCAATAATTGGTAAACAAATTTAGATACCACTATTTGAGATATTTAATTAATCGGGAATTTTAGTAACAACTCGCTCAAAATATCTACAACACGCATTTGTTCGCTCATGCATACATCTTTAACACAGAGCGCTGCGGATTGAATTCAAATTCACTAAAAAAATTAACGCCCGCTGAACGTAAGAAAAAATAGAAATCGAGGAAAAAAGAGAAACGTTCAAAATTTGCATTTCCCGCATCGGGGCGATAGAAGATAAATTTAGCTACAGTGAATTTAGCCATGCGCGCCACAAAACGATCAAAGCTCCAAGTTCTGAAATAAAAGTTTCAGGAATTTACAGCAAAGTTTGACTACTCGCCGTCAGAGCGCGCTCAAATTTTCAGTAACATTACAGAACCGCTTATACAAAGTCTGGCACAAACTCAAACAATTTTGAAATAACACCCACTATTGAAATTAATAACTTTACGTAACTTACCAGCCTAGGACAAGTCAAAATTTGGACTTACCTGTAAAAGAAAGAAAAAATAATTAATTTCTGGTACAACAAAAACGCCGCAGTAAATAAACAGTGTTGGAAGCCCACAACAACTAATTTAGTATTCTTTATATTGATTTAGTGAAAAAGGGCGCAACACCCCTAGTTTGCTTTTCCAATTACCCTGTTAATTGCCCCTAAAACAATATTTATACACCGAGAGGCTCCCTTTCGATTTGCTTTTTTTAATGTTATTTCAGCGGCTGACAAGCAACCAACGCGTTTACACATAAAAAATTGTGTTTTCACATTAAACCGTTACGGAATAAGAGCCCATATGAATAATTTATGTTTTTCCCAAATTCCGGAGACAATTATATCGCACCGCAGAGAAAAATTACCCTCTCCGGAGTTCAGGTCCGACCACCACTGTCCACCCCCGTCGCCGTCGCAAGACCCTCTGTTCGAATGCGGCGAAATCGTCATTGTGCTTTTTCCGATATTGATGAGCCGACATTGTGTGTCGCTAACTAATCGTTTACACTGTTTTGGCAAATCGCGAATGTTGACACATTTTCGTACTGGCGTCTTCGCGACGGTACCGCGTAAAAAACTTCCCAAAAGAAAACGTTTTCAACAACATTTGTCATAAACTGAATGTCCGAACGCGACTCCTGTTCGAAATAGAAAAATAAACGGTGTCAAGCTGTGAGAGCGGCAAAAAAAACGAAAAACGATGCAAAACCGCACATCTCGATTTGTGTCAGTGTGAGAATAGTTGACAAAGTGCCATCATTGGCTGTTGGCAACAGAGAATATCTTTACGCCACAGAAACATGAGAAATAGACTGGTCACAATTATTAAACAGTCATCACCCACAAGCATCAAAAACTGTCTAGGTTCAATTTAGGTTTAAGATAGGCCTTCAAACACAAATTTCTGACAAAATTAGTCAAGGAAATTCTATTCTCCTTAGTATAACCGGCGTTGGATAATAAAGTGAAATTTGTAGACAGATTGTATAGTGCGTTGTGTGATTCACACAAAGTTTTTGAATTTATTTTTTGAGTGCCACGAAATGACATCATTAACGTAAGAAATATTAAATATTCATATCGAGCAATGGTGCTTTAAAAGCTACACCGAAATGTTTCCGGAAGACTCGAGAGCTTTTAAAAGAGTAGTGTGGATCGGAAAAGCTTCGCGAATATAAAATGGAACTTTTTCTTATAATTCGATTTATTACGTTAATGGAATATCGAATAGCAAGTGGATGATACTGCTAATGAAGAAATCCTAAGCTAAGGCATCGTGCAAAACTCGCTCGGGATGTTTACGACTGTTTTGCTATGAGATATTAGAGGCTTATTATCAGACATAATCCACCACAAACGGCTTTTTAACTGCTTTTTAAAAATGGCATGTTGCCAACAAACACCCAGGGAAAGGAAACTCAAAAAATGACAAAAAAAAACAACAATGCAGTTTACGCAACAGGCTCTAAAAACGAAATTTGTTATCTACCGGACTCATTCCGGTATATAATTTTTATCACTACTGTCCATTCAATAATAAACCCCGAGTGTTATCAGAGATAATTTGAATTCTTCTATTTTTTTGTTAGTGACCCGTTTCATATATCGCAAGCGAAATCCTCCAGACCAGTGATGTTACGTAACTCCGGAGAGCTCCGGGAGATCGATTCGGACTCGGGATCGGGTTGCAGCTGCACAACCCGGATTTTCGGCAGTGTCATGCTCATGCTGACTCACCCTGCTGCGATAATTTCTTTTTTCAACGATCGATACCCGCAATTAATACGTTCCTAGACGACAAAGAACATCAAATCTCGTCGTTATACCTACGCAACGTAAAAATATGTCGTCCGCTCAGGGATAAATTGTTATTGTTGGTCGGAAGTGCTGAATAGAGCTTGATAAATGACAGCTTTCAACCGACGTTCATTTTTCAGCAAGTAGACCATAGTTTGTTATGTTGGTGAAAAAGTTGCTGATGAATTTATTCGCTTGACAAAGCAGGAAGACAAGAAAATTTTGATTCGAGTTATAGTTGCGGCGGTGATGTTGTCTAACCAGCTGAAAAAAGTGTATCAGGAAGTTTTCAGTTTCTACCTTTGACGTCG